CTGCCTTGCCTTCCTGGGCTGGTGCTTCACTCAGTAATATCTCCTGTGTTTTCCATTTCTATCCCTTAGATTTAAGAAGATCATTCCCATTCCTGAGCAGAGCATGGTTCAAATGCTGTGTTACCTCCTGGAATGCCTCCTGACAGAGGAGAACACACCTCCTGACTGCCCCAAGGAGCTTTATGAGCTTTACTTTGTCTTTGCTGCTGTCTGGGCCTTTGGTGGGTCCATGTTTCAGGACCAGGTAAGAAAGGAGATGCCACATCATCAGGTCTTCTTTTGCGGTTTTTTTTTCTCTTTTTTTCCTACTTTCCCAGACCTGGTACGGTGTCAGGGATGCTGTTTGACCTAGAAACATGAACATTTTGATTCCTTTTGCAAACCACTTTGCTATCCAGGGAGTAACACCAGAGAATGGCTGAGGGGTCATGGGCTGGAGGCAAACAGATGTTTGGTTATGCAGCCACATGTCACTGGGGAGAAGCACTGGGTTAATTTATAGAGGTGTGTGGAGGTGCATAATGTGATCAAATTAGAATTGTAGAATTGCCAAGGTTGGAGGAGACCTCAAAGATCATCAAGTCCAACCATTAAACTGCCACTGCTGGAACCCCTAAACCAGGTCCTCCAGCACCAGATCCAGGCACCTCTTAAACATCTCCAGGGATGGTGACTGCATCACCTCCCAGGGCAGTATTTCAGTGCCTGAACACCTTAACAGAGAAATATTTTTTCCTAATATCTAATCTGAATCTCCCCTGTCTGAGTTTACAACTGCTCCCTCTAGTCCTCAGAAGAACTAGTCAGATGAATCCAGCTGTGGAGCCATCTCCAGCCCCGTGGCTGCAGGTAGACATTGTGCTGAGAGCACAGAGAGAGTTGGCTGTCCTGGATTTCTTACTGAAATACCTAGGGAAGAGGAGTGGTCAGCAGGGCAGGATGGGCTCTGGGGATCATATTCTTCCACTGAAGTGGAGTACTCTGTGCTGGGAGTGAGCTGCTGAGGCTGAGGTGGATGGTTGCAGCCCTCAGTGTGACTCCCCTCCGGGCAGGAAGCTGCTGGAGGCTTTCAGAGAGCTGCTGGGCTCAGTCAGGCTGCTGGTGGATGGATGTCCACAGGCACAGGATGTAGTGCTGGAGGGCACAATCCAGAGGCCAACATCCCTTTGGGCCAGGAGGAATAATCAGGCTGTGGTTCACTAGCAGCAATTCTGATGTTCAGAGTACTCTCATGTCCATGAGGCAGAGGAGACAGGACAGCTCTCCATGCTGCTTCCCACAGCACATCCATCCTAGGGATTAATTGCAGCTGTCAGCCCCAGAATCCATCCCCTCCTGTTAGATGAGGTGGGTGTGATCCCTGCCATGGTGGTGTCCTTGGAAGGCAGCATTGGATGCTGCATTTTTCCAGGCCCTCTCTTAGGTCCTGGTCCCTGCAACATGGGAGCAGCACAGGCAGCCCCAGCTGGGCTGAATCACAGCTGCCTTGTGGGAGCTGGAGCATGAGAACAGGGATCTTGGGAAGGATCCAGACTTGCCTGAGGGTACCAGGGCTGTGCTGCTGCCTCTGACCTCCCTGTTCTTTGTCTCTTCCTAATGTCTTGTGCACAGGAGAGGAGAAATGGACATTTCCTTCCATCCCTGTGTCCTGTTCTGCCCCATTTCCTGGCCATATGGCTCAGCTTGGCACAGTAGGGCTGTCTTTGGATTTCCAAGTCATTGGAAAAGCTGCTGCTGTTTTACAGCTTCCAACTGCTAACAGAGACAATGGACAAGAAGGCATTGGGCTGTGTGTCAGCACTGCTGCCAGCACTGCAGCCACCATGGCTCTGTGCTGTGGTTCCAAGCCCATGCTTGAATGATGACTTCCCACCCTCCCTTGGCATTACCGGGGATAAATTGAAAGAGGAAACTGAGATGAGATCTTTGGCAGAAGTTTTCCCTGTGAGCGTGGTGAGGCACTGACACAAGTTGCCCAGGGAGGCTGTGGCTGCCCCAGCCCTGGCAGTGTTCACAGCCAGGTTGGATGAGCCTTGAGCAACCTGCTCTGGTGGGAGGTGTCCCTGCCCAGGGCAGGGGTTGGGGCTGGAGGATCTCTGAGCTCCATTCCAACCCCTTCACATGCTATGAAGCTATGAGAAGCTCAGCCACAGTGTTGTCAGTGCAGGCTACAAACCCAGCACAGCCTGGGGAGCACAGCTTGCCCTTGCCCAGCACGAGCCTCCAGCCCCTGGAGCTTGCGAGCAGAGTGTGGTCGCGTGGCACACGGACACGTCATTCCCGTGCCGGAGCAGTCAGTCCCTGGCATGGCACTGCTGGCTGCAGGCTCTCCAGGAGCAGGGCCTTGCACAGCTGTGTGGGTGGCAGGGGGAGCTGTGTGCAGGCACAGCATCCTTCTGGGAATATGTTGGACGTGGAGCTTGTGCTGCTCTGTAAATGTCAGCCCGGAGCGCGAGCACTCAGCCGGCCCAGCCAGGGAGGCCTCATGAAGGATGATCCAATATAAAAGCTGTTTATTGCTCCCCACTGAAGGTGCCCTTCATGCTGACCTTTTGCTGCTGAAATGTCAGGAGAAACAGGCTGGAAGGCTTCCTGCTGCTGTGTTTGTTGGTAGGGAGTGAGGTCCTGGATAAAATCAGGAGCAATTTGCCATTTTCAGGCTCAGAAATGAGCAGAAATCCATGTGGGGGTTTTGTTCAGGAAGCTGTGTGAGCTCAGCACTGTTCTGGCAATAGAGCTGGGGCTGGAGCTGCTGCACTTAAGGGCTCAGGGAGGTGGGAAGCCCATCCCAGTGTGCTGTGGGAAGAGCACCCTGGGAGAAAGCTTTTAGCAGTGCTGGATGTCCCTGTCCCTTGCAGGCTGCTCTGCTGCTGGGCTGGGGGTTGTACCAACAGCACAGTGCAGATCACAGCCATTCTGCCTCTCTGGCTGGCACAAAGATCCTGGTACTAATAGCAAGAGTTTTATATCCTCTGGTCTTTTGAAGGATGGTGGCTCAGGGGATTTTGCAGAGGCCACTCAGTCCATTCAAACCCAGGATTGCTGACAGAGGCTGAGCAATGGGTCATGTGCTGTAGGTTGCCCTGCTCACCCCTGGCGGGAAGCCCTTGGGCTGGCTCTGGGGAGGAGAGACCTGCACATGCCCCAGGAACAAACTGTGCTGCTAAAACTGGCTCAGTTATTCATCTGGTATTTCACAGACATCTTTTTAGCAGCACTTTTTCCCTCCTTCCCCTCAACTTCTCCCTGGGGCTGAAGGTTGTGTCCCTGCAGTCTGTGTGAGAAGGGACCAGGGAAGGGACTGACTCAGTGTAACAGAGCAGACCTGGGGCAGGGGCTAAGCACAGTTTGTATGTCCTGACTCAGCATCTAAAGCCAAAACTCTCACCCTAGCTCTTGATAAAAGCACAGATGCTTAGAAAGGCAGGATGGGGAAGGAAAGCAGGTGCTGCCAGGGTGCTATGGCAGTGTGGAAACAGCGGCTCCACAGGGGCACAGTCCCTCCCCAGTGACTTGGGACACTGGTGTCTGCAGTCCTGCTGCTCCAAAATGCTGTGGCTTGAAAAGAGGCCAGAAAACAAGAGCTCAGAGTTAGCAGAGTGGTGTGATTTATGAGGAAGGGCTTTGGTATGCAGGCTCTGCCTAGCCATGGCCACGGATGGAGACGGATGTGGTGTCCTTGTCTGTTGGAAGAAGTAGGCACCAAGAATCAATCAAGTGTCTGTTTAGTCACAGGCACGTATTTCTCTCTTCCAAATTGATCCATCTATCTCATCTCAGCCATGCTAGGAGTGATCAACACAGAGGATGAATTATTTAGGGGAATAAATAGGAGTGATGAGAAGAAATGGAGAAAATGAAAAATTAGGCTTAATAATAGGAAAAAGGATAAGATCTTTATGCTGTGGAATATATTTTAAGGACTAATCCCACTGGGGTGAACTGGGACAGATAACATTTCCATCAGTAATGAATTTCTCCAGATTAGCATATTTTCTCCTCTCTTTGCTCACAGCTCGTGGACTACAGAGTGGAGTTCAGCAAGTGGTGGGTGGCAGAATTCAAGACCATCAAGTTTCCCTCTCAGGGCACAGTCTTTGACTTTTATATTGATCCGGAAACAAAGAAGTTTGAGCCTTGGTCTAAACTGATTCCCCAGTTTGACTTTGATCCGGAGATGCCATTACAAGTAGGTGACCTCAGCATGATGTTTGTACATGTGTTTCTGTCACTGTACTTGGGTGTTGCAATCAAGTCTGGTGAAAGGTCAAGCACTGCACACTAAGGATGGAATCCTTCATGGGGTACAGCTGAGTTACCCACCTTTACTGTGCTCTGACTGTGACAGCACATCGTCCATCTGAGGGATGCAGAGGAGGGGCAGGCTCAGGCCACCCCACAATCCGTGAGCTGGTGTGCCTAGGGTGCAGGATGGGGACAGGAGCAGAATGTGAGACAGTGTAGGGACAAAACCCCTGAGACACCATGTTGTCATTCTTTGTGACTGGAAATAGAGATAGGTTTATGTTTTGGCCACAAAGAGTTTCTCAGGTAGAGAATTTCAGCTGCCAGCTGAGCTTTCCTGTCCTTTCCCAAGTGCCACAGTGAGCAGATGACTTGTAAAAATCACCATTTTAGCAAAGTGTGTGTTTGTGGGGAGATGCAAATGCTGCTCCCACCATCCAGCTGTCAGGGCTGCACTGCACAGAGCTTGATTTCATGCCTGGCAGCAGCAGCATATCCTTCTTGGGATGCATTGGGAAGAGCATCGCCAGCAGGTCAGGGAGGTGGTGCTGTTCAGCCCTGGTGAGGCCACATCTGGAATGCTGTGTCCAGTTCTGGGCTCCTCAGTGCCAGGGGGGCATGGAGCTCCTGCAGCAGGTCCAGCAAAGGGCAAGGAAGATGCTGAAGGTACTGGAGCACCTCAGTGATGAGGAAAGGCTGAGGGAGTTGGGGCTGTTCAGCCTTGAGAAGAGACGACTGAGAGAGACCTCATTAATGGACTCAAGTCCATGAACAGGAAGTGCCAAGAGGATGATCAGACCCTGCTCAGTGGGGGAAACCAATAAAACATGAGGTAACAGCAAAAGCTTATGCCCAGGAATTTCCACCTGAACATGAACAAGAACTTCTTTCCTGTGCAGCACTGAACACATTGCCTAGAGAGACTGTGGATTCTCCTCACTGGAGATACACCAGACCCATCTGGACACAACCCTGAGCCATGAGCTCTGGGCTGGCCTTGCCTGAGCAGGGAGGTGGGACCGGTGACCCACTAATGGTCTCTTCCAACTGAACTGATTCTGTGATTCCCTTCCTAGTGCATCCTAGAAACTGAGCTCACCTCGCTCATTCCTGGGTCTCCCAGTCCTACCTCTCCTGAGGATATGGCCAAGGGGTGGTGGCAGAGATGAGGACACTAACTTGCTTGCTGTGCTCCTCAGGCTTGCCTGGTGCCCACAAGCGAGACAATGCGTGTGAGGTACTTCCTGGACAGGCTCCTGGAGCGACGGCGCCCGGTGATGCTAGTGGGCACTGCTGGCATGGGGAAGTCTGTGCTGGTGGGGGACAAGCTCTCCTCGCTGGACACAGATGTTTACCTGGTGAAGAAGGTCCCATTTAACTACTACACCACCTCTGCCATGCTGCAAGGTAAGAACAGAATCATGGAATGTGAAGGGTTAGGATGGAGCTCAGAGATGATCCAGCCCCAACCCCTGCCCTGGGCAGGGACACCTCCCACCAGAGCAGGTTGCTCAAGGCTCAGCCAACCTG